TCTGAAGATGCTCGGTCGGGCGGTAAATTTATATTTTATAACAAAATACAAAAATATATCAACGCGGAAACCAAAATATCGTTGGGCGGTGATGAGAACCAAGGAATTTATTTTATATGGCCTTAAATCTACTTTATATGCATGCGATCACTGGCCAACTTCATGAACCTTAGTCATGCCGAAAATAGGTACCTATTTATTAAACGCGATTAATTATTAATATAAACTAGTACAATACCTGTGGCGTGGACAGATATTTAGTTATTGTTTTTGCAAGTTCAGCATTCACCTTATTAAACATGGCCACCTATTGAAAAAGTGCACAAAATTTAATACCAAGAGACTGGCAAGAATTGACAAGATATTGTTATATAGCTGGAGCGAACGCCAAACGTATAATTCGCCCCACCTTACAACAATTGAAAAACAAAATGGCGGCACAGCTCGCAAGTTTATAAACAACTGTCTTTTAAACAAGCTTATAAACTGGGCTTCGCCTCCGGCGACAACGGCTGTCTCGGGGCCACAAACACGCTGTTTCCCTCGGTCTCAGTAAATAAGTATAGGTTATTTTGAGGCAACGAGGGGATATGTGATTTATTCACCGAGGCGCGCAGCGCCGAGGTGAATAAACACATATCCCCGAGGTGCCCCAAAATAACGTACTTATTTTTCACACTGCGAGGTCGCGTTAATGAGTCAGAAAAGAAATAATTCTTAATGCCATATTGCCTTCGCGATGTTGTTTTTTCTCATTTTTTGTGCTGCAAGGCAAAGACATTGCAGGTGAATATTAGAGGGGATTATTAATTGCAGGTGAATATTAGAGGCGATTATTAAACGGAAATTGATTAGAGGGGAATATTGATTATATTCCCCGACAAGAACAAAGGAAACCGAGCAGGGTGAAAAATAAGTGGTAATAGTTGTATGATTCGAATGTAGTATATAACCATAGTTAATAGAATAGATGGTTTGGAAACTCATTAGAATAACAATATAAACTCATTGTCGATGTTAGTCAACGTTTATTCATAAATATTTTCCTTCACCGTCGTCACGTTTGTATTGTATTTTTGCCAAATCCACCAATAGCAATTTCCTCTGAATTTATCCTATTGTTTGAGTCACGGATAGGTAACTTTCCTAAAACATTGCTATAGGTAACTTTCCTAAAACATTGCTTGTGAAATAGTTTGAAACGTTGGGACTCTCGGGAAAACAAAACTATTTCCCTCCGGAAACTGACAGACATTAATAGGGGCCCCCCAAAAAACAAAACTATTGAATATGCCTCAGCACTCTGATGAACCCACAAGTGCATAAAAGCTTGACATAAGTAAATTTTATTCATAATGTTCAATTTAAAAAGCTGCCTTAAATTCCCAAGTGCAGAAAATCATACAAAGATATTTTAAGTCAATATTCATTAATATCATGCACCCTGTCAATATTTTACGCATCTTTGCGTTGAGCTTAGTGCTAGGGCATTTAAATTCTAACAATGCGTTACTTAAATAGTTTTGGGTGGTTTTTGGGGACATCTAGCTGTATATTGTATACTCACAGCTTTCATTTGTAACTTTGTGTTAGCCCCTTTCAAGTTTTCCGCAATGTTGAATCCAAGGCGACCTCTCATATCGGCGTTCAAAATTTTGTTGTAAAAAACTGTGGCTTGTGTGAAATTATCCATGTGGTCAGTATCATAACGTTTGACATCACCTGTAACCTAGATATAAGATGAATATATCCTTCAAAGATGATTAAACTCTTCAAAGAAACAAAGGAGTTTTATCAGTGCGCTTATCAACTAACTCTTAATCCTCTTATACGATGCTATCAAAGTTTTGCCAAATTTCCGCCCTCTTTTCTTAACTTTTCCCTTAGGCCGAACAACTGAAGTTATTACAAACCGTTATAGAATGCAGTGTGTGGTTATCAGGTTGAGGTCCGTTAAAGCTGTTAGGGTAGTAGTTCACTTCGTTCGCACCTAAACAAATCAGGGAGAATGATATTAATTAACGATTATATAGATCTACAGGGTGTATCAAAATAAACGCAATTCACTTTTGTGCTTAATAACTTTTGAAATACTATTTCTAGTTAAACGCTTTTAGGCTTGCTTCAATGCCTGTTCTTTTCTTTTTCAAACAAACTATTATCCTTGTCTCCAATGCTAGTAATAATTGCACAGGAAAAGATTTCGTAAAACCTATCATTTTTAGTTGCTGTTAAATTATGCAAGTTTACTATATGTTATTGTTTAGTCGGTTTAAATGTTAGAATTTTCTTCTTTAAACTTTAATGTTGTCGTCACTACATCTGGAAAACCACGTAAGAACAAATTAAAAGTATTTTAAAAGAGACCAGGTTGTTTGAAAATCCTAAACGAATGCTAAAAATCGTCAAAACATTCTGGTGTCTGAGCCAATCTCGTTCCCTGAGCCTGCGATCCTCGGGAAGGAACGCGAGGTTCTGGGATAATCCGTTTCAGGGAGGAATCTGATTGGCCATTGAAATGGAATGCGTAGTTCAATCTTAGCCAGGATTCTTGGCTTCCGGTAACGGATTATCCCAGAGCCTTCGATTCCTTCCCGAGGATTGCAGGTTCGGGGAACGAGATTGGTGTCTGAGCCAGAATGTCATGGAATTGCGATGTAATGTAAACAGAAATTATAGCAAGTTGATGTCATTGATCAGCTTAGATGGTCCAAGCCAAAATTATATCGCGTTTGAAGTTTCAAACTGAGTTAAAAATAGTGGAAGAAAAGCCGTAATTATACTTATTGTTACAATCCATTTAATAAAATGCAACTTTTTTTGTTTTAATGAAAAAATCAGTTATTTTCATGAGAACGATTTGTTATTCCATCTCAATTATTTTAATCTCCAATCGCAATAACGTAAATTATTATACATTGCAGTTGGTAAAAGCAATTTGATTGGCTAAGAGCTAACAGTTAAATCGCGCAATCACGCAACCTACACAAAATTCAGTTATCTGCTAACTCAGTTATCTGCTAGCAGATAACTGAATTTTGTGTTAGGTTGCGTGAAATTGAATGAGTGTACATTTCAAATGAGTGTACATTTCAATTTTCAAATGAATGTACATTTCATAATTGTAATGTTTACTTTAACAAGTAAATATTTTAATACGTTAACATCTTAACGATAATATGTTTCTTTTATATTTGTAATTAATTTAACTGCTGGATTTCCTGAGACTTGTTTATAGAAACGTTTTACTTGAATAGCTTTACCAGAAATCATATTGAATATAACGCTTACCGAGACCTTGATAATTTTGCATATCGCAAAAACCGAATTCAATAATTGTTTTATTATTTAAAATACTATGTTTATTATTCTTCAAATGTATAATAAAACAATTATTGAATTCGGTTTTTGCGATATGCAAAATCATCAAGGTCTCGGTAATCGTTCGGCTCGGCTGATAACGCTTACCTCGACCTTGATAATTCCGCATATCACAAAAACCTCATCCAATAATTGTTAAGTATTATTACCCGCGAACCAATGAGTCAAATTTAAGAAACAACCCACTATTAGAAAGCTGAATGGCTACGCTTTAAAATGAATGTAAACTTTAACGTTTTCGTCTATTATTTGTTTAGCAATTTACATTTCAGTCGAGGATTGCGCTTTTTTTATACACCCTGTATATACTGCGACTTCATGTTATGATGTATCCCCGGGGAAGGAATTTTGGCGGGCGTGGGCCGCCATACAGGCTGTTGAAACCCTTTTAGCCTTCCAAGCCAAGATAAAGATGTGCGCCTGCATTCTGAAAGCTCACTCGCACTCAAAGAGCGGAAGTTGAATCTGAGCTTCTCTTGAGTGTCAGTGCTGTTTTTGAATAGCTGGAAGGTGAGTGGTCACGTGGTAAGGTACGACACTAACCCTCCAGCTATTCAAAAACATGAGCATTCATTTGACGCTCAGGGGAAGCTCAGATTGAATCTCCACTCTTTGTGTGTGAGTGAGCTTTTAGAATACTGACGGTAGTCTCCTTCATGGACAGAATGTAAAATTTCAGGAATTGGGGCATCTAGATCTCACTAATTGTTGAAGGATTTTGTTGATGGAAATTTCGAAAGTTAATTTTGTACATTTATTAGAAGAGATTGCGAAAAATGAGGGGGGCATTGGGATTTACGGTATGGCGGTACTGGCTTATTTTTCTTACGGTATTTCGGTATTTTCCTTGAAAAATTGCGGTAATACGATATTGGAAACTCTTGCGGTACACCGTATTTGCAATTCTGGACTAAAAAACTGCGGTAATTGACAAAATTTACTTGCAGTATTACGGTATTGAATACCCCCCAATGCCTCCCTCAAAAATGCAACTACCAAAATTACTTCCTGCCTGCAGAGAGATGGCCTATAAGTTCCCTGAACAAAGATCAAAAGGTGTAACCGTAAGATACGTAATCTTACTCGGATCTATAATGGCTTGAGCTCCATCTCTTTGATAATTATGCGGACGATGTTGAGTACGATTCACGGGCAATTGATTGTAGTTCACTCCCAGACGGTAAACTTGGGTGTCGTTGTAAGCGAAGATTCGACCTTGAAGCAATTGGTCAGGGGACCCTTCGATACCGGGTACTAATCTCGAAGGACTGAATGCTGCTTGTTCAACTTCAGCAAAGTAGTTGTTTGGATTTGCGTTTAATGTTAACTTGCCAATGTCATTTAACGGAAAATCAGTGTGTGGCCATACCTATATTCATCAACAAAGTCAAAGAAACAAATTTATATAAAAAAAGGCATCGTATTTTCACTTGGTTCAATGGTGTCGCCACCTTTAAGATGCTTAAATTAAGGTATAGATTTTCGAAGAGCAATCTTTTTCAAATTGGCTGTGTATGTATAACTCTGTACTCAAATTATATAACTAGGAAACTTTAGATATGACTACGACTACGAGATTTTTCCGTTAAATTTCTTCTACTTGAGACTTGCTGTCGTTCACTGTTTGTCATAGTGCATCTTTGAAACAACACTTGAACCAAACTATACGTACAGTTTTAAGCTTTCTGGAGCAGATATTTCACGAAAAAATCTTCTAGTCGTATACTAGATCTCGTAGCCGTAGTCAAATCTAAAGCTCCCTACTATCTATTAAATTAAAACATCAAAAAACAGCACAAAGAAAAACTTTATTAACGTTTCGGGGCAAACCCTTCAGGTTCTTGATCGTTGATAAATAGCCAACGATACATCAAGCATGGCATTGTTATAGAAATAGCCAATCAGACCTACAACCGAAGTCCGCCCAGTTGTACTGCACGAACTTTTAATAACATTTGTATCAGGTCTTAATTCTCCTTCGCCACAGACCGTGAAAAAAAATCATATATAATGTTTTTGATGTTACTCTGAGTGTATATCCACACCGGGCAAGCTGAAAAGTTAACCTACCACGGTGGGAATCGAACCCGCGACCTTTGGGATACTATGCTGACATAAAAAAAACATTATATTCACCTGAGTACGTAGCATCAAAACACACACAAAACTATAAAGGTCATATATAGGTTATTACCAACGATAGAAATAGCTTATCTGGGCACAATCCGCTGTGACACCGGATTTCATGCATTGATTTCAGACACATTGTGTGGTACATGGGTACAAAGTTACCTTTGTCACATCAAAAGCGATTGATTTGTACTTAGGCGACTGTGCTTGTGCTGGAGTCATGTATTGGTATTGTAACGTCCAAGACGGCTGAAAAAGAAACAACCATTATACATAGTGTTTTCCGTAAATTAAGATATTGGTTTCTTAGTTTCCTAATGGCTATTTTTGTGCCTGTCATTCTCAGTCAAGAATTAGGCAAAACCCATTTTCCATTTTACCACAGCAGGACCCTTAAATATTGTTTAAACGAGTTTCGCGAAGCCTGAACTCTAGGTCATCAGCATGATATACTTTTCTTTTTACTTACATATTCTCCCCTTTTGATGCCGTCATACAGTAGTTGGGTCGAATAATCCAGATCATTGAGTCTAGGATCCTTTGGGTTTGTAATATTCTGTACGCCTTGATTGGTCTATAAACAAGATTAGGTTAGCCTGACACTGGCCACAGATCTTTATTTATAACTGGAGTGATCCATTCAAGATGGCGAACAGTATAAAAGGGGAAAAGGGCAAATAATTTATACTTTTACAACGAGATTTTTCGTGTATTTTAAAGGCTATGGTATTTTTTGGCGGTGACAGTTCGAATTTGGCTATTGTTGAGGAGTTTGGAAGCGGAAGCTGCGATGAAGATTTGTCATATTTTTATCGAAGTAAGGTCATATCTAATCGTTTGTAATGAAGTTCGATCAACCATCAAGGGTGTTAAAATCTGTTTTCGACTTTCATTTTCAAGCGTACTTGAATATCCTGGGGTGAATTAATTAAATCAATATCTTCTTCCGTCCATTTGCATCGAAAAATATTGAGAAATTGCAAACGAATATCAATGGATACGAGCTATCTAAATTATAAATATCCTCTTAATTGCAACATTTCTTTATAAGAATGACTCTATTGAACTTCGATACTCAGATTATGAAGATTCGTTTCAATTTCTTTCACATTTCCGTCGATTTCAAGTTTAAAAAAAGTCAAACAGCTTGTTTGGTTTGGTTCCAAAACCATACTTCGTCGCATTATCTTGCAGAACCTACCCAACTTCATTTCAATCTTCCCATCACATCGCGCGCGCTCACTTTTATTCAGAAAACTTCATGTAAGTTATTTGCAAATACTTAAGGAGGCTCTGCGGAGGAGAGAGTACAAATGCCATATAATAAACTTTTTACTAACATCGCTTGCTCGGTATGTACAGAGAAATATCGGACCTCGGCTTTTTTGTACAAACCTCGCTCTACGGGCTCGGTCTGTTAAAAAAAGACCTCGGTCCCATATTTCCCTGTACAGACCTCGCGCTCGGTTAATAAGGAGTTAATATTCATGCCACATTTTGTTTCAAATGTAATCGTTCCATCAGAACATCTTCACATTATTTGAATAAAATCAGTAAAAAGTTTGCTCATTCTTTCAATTTATATAAGGTCTATACAAATTGTATAGATCTGATAAATTGAAAGAATGAGCAAAATTATTACTGATTTTTCATTTTCAGATTTAAACATTATCTTTCTTCACTATCAGATATAAAAATTACTTTAAAAAGCTCGTAATTAACTGAGTCACAATACTTACTTTCCATTTAAATCTGACATAAACTGCTTCTTGTTTTGTGTTTACCATCGTAAAGGTGTTACCAGAATAGCCGTTCATATGTTGATATCCATCCGGTATCCCACGGTCAGCAAAAATCATCATTAGCATATGAACTGATTCTTCACGTATCGTCATGAAATCCCAAAAGGCATTAGGATCCTGAAAACAGTTTGTCAGGTAAAATTACAAATAAATATACGTGGGGCGGTGGGGGAGCGAGTGCTCACATCTTGTCAAAAAGATTTGTTTGTCAACTTGTTGTGACAATGTTGTTAATTCGTCAAGCTGCTGTACAAAGATTATGTACAAAGATCACAGACTCAGTTAACAAATTTGTTCAGATGCAAGATGATAAGTTGTTGTTGAAACAACTGGCACTGTAACAAGCTCGACAACGTTTTAACAAGTTGTCAACCAGCCCTTGATAACTTGTCAACAAGCTGGAAACAACCAATGTTTAAATATTATAATTCTTAATGTTAAAACACATGTGATTCACATGCGAATCATACTGTATGCTTAAAACCACATCTGCTTCAACACCATACATGATGTGGTCATGACAGAACCATTTGACACCACATTTCAGTTAAAAGTTTTAATAGATATTGGAAGATTCAGAGGTACTGGAAGCAACGTGAGGCGGTGGGTCGGCTATTTAAAAAGGGCACTTCAGAGCCTTTTGTGGGCGGCAATGGTCCTTAAAATTTTGTTTGATTACTTAATTTGTTGCCGATATATATAGTTAGAGAAATATCGGCATTGTTTGGAAATCGTTGCATAACACTAAAGACTAAAAAAATGCATTGTAGAGCAAGATGAGTCATGACCATTAGTCAATTATTTGCGATTGGTAATGTTTCTGACAGGAATTTCAGGTTCAAATTTGAGCTAAATTGTCTGAAAACAGTTCTCAATTTCAATTCATGGGAATAACGCACGAGTTTGGAAGTGTAGTTCTTGAATAAAAAGGCAATCTGCTGTTTCCCGCCTTGTCACCGCATTGTTTGGAGTACGGGAGCAGCTGCCTTTGCGTGGCTATACGGTGTCTCCCAAACGATTTAGTAAAATTACCTTCAAGTTGGATGAAGGATTCCTTTTCTGACAATGGGCGAGATGTGGAAACTATAAAATTCAATAACAACAAATTAACCTGGTCATCGATGTGATTCTTTAGTACGCCCCAGCAGGGCCAGAAGCCCCCCTCCAGTCAACTATTTTGTCCTCCTAAGCATAGCAACAATCAACAACAACCCCTCAGTCAAGATCCCTTTTCTCTAAAATAAAAGTTTGATATTCTAGGAACCTTGCTTTGTGAATCTTATGTCATATGTTAATTTCTCTTTAAATGTCATTCAATATCTTTTTTAAAATGCTATAAACTTGTGTTAACTTAGGTTGAAAAAAAACTAGCAGGTAGCATATTCCCGACTCCATATATATATATATATATATATATATATATATATATATATATATATATATATATATATATATATATATATATATATATATATATATATATATTTGAGTTGTTGGAAGGCTTGGCAAAACACGTTTATGGCCGAGTTGTGCATTGTATAACATTAACATACCATACATGCAAGTACTTAACTGAAGATTCAATCTATGGACAGTATAATGTAATAATGTATATCGTATACGCACGAAATGCGGTCCTAATTGGATGTGTAAAAATACGAACATATTCTGGTTCTGAGGAGAATGCCCCAGACTCATCTAGGCTATTACATTTGACACCACACCAAAGTTTTAACATCAACATCAGTCATCTCTCCACATGCACTTATTATAATATTGTCTCGTTGTGGTGACTGCCCCACTAAAGAATTCTTAAAAAAGGGCCTCTAGTCCCTACATTGTGACCAGAGTAGCTAAGTGTATTACAAAACCTTAATTTTAAGGAGTCTGTGACCTAAAATATTATTTTTGTTTTGTGTAATATTTGGGTCATTCTGAGAACAAATGTAAGATGGTAAAAATGCTCATCTTGGTCAACTTTTCCACAACTAAAGTTCCCGGGTATGATTTTAAAATAAGCAAAAAATCTTATGTGTACCAAAATGGGATCTCTGATGAAGAAAACAGCAGTACTGAGGGAAAGCAAGTCCCAGATGCCTTCATCTGTGTAAAATTTAACGGCGAAGCCCCTTGCATCTCGCTCGTTGTCAGAACTTCCACGTTCACCATCTTAAGATAAAGGAAGTGGAAATTAAAACGGAAACACTGACGGATACTTCACGAATTAGGAGGGTGAGAATTGAGGTCGCCAACATGCCATTTGGTTTGTTCAAATTTCAGTTTTTGATCTAATATTCCAAATCCGACTATGACGAATGGACTAGATTTCAAGACCCGCGCAATTGGATCAGAATATGAGGACTTGAATCTGATTCAGTCCAAATTGGAGGATTATAAATATTACATCTCGTACGAATAAATCACCAAGAGTGTGGTGAATTAATTTTGATCCAGTTCTAGGACTGGTTCAATATATATCACCAGGTATTCTGTATTATCATGTGAACATGATAAAGCAATATAGTTGCCAAATTAACTGATAAATTATTAATGAGTTTGAGATATATTTTGCTCAAATTTAATGCAATGGGCCATTTGCATGAATCTCGGCATATAACTTTCCATTGTCTTTTCATTGCCCTAAAAACCATGCCGTCTAGTCACTCATTCTTTCCAAATATTTGTGACCTTTTGCAAAGGGATATTTGCTTTAATAATTCACTATCAAGGGGGTCTATTATAGTTTGCCGGTTAGGCGGTTCGGGCGATTTTAAGATGCCGGTTTTCGGATATACCTCCATTCTCGTGGCGGTTTACGGTGAAGAAATAATCACTCGGTAATGGAAAATCGTTGAGCATAGACTATATTACATAACTCATAAGCTCCTTTTGAAGATTGGCTGCCAGTTCACAAAAATAAAATGTAATAAAGCATAGTAAATTTGTTACTGAGTTAGACTATCAACCTCGTACCGAGGGTCTTTCCTCTTTGTGAACAGAGAAAAGACCCTGGTAGACGTTGGTCACGTGATCTGCTTAAATCTAGCAGATTTTTAATTAGTAATCCAAGTCGAGGTCAATAAATATTTGACATTTAGCAGATCACGTGACCAGCGTCCACCAGGGTCTTTTCTCTCCACAAGAGGAAAGACCCTGGGTACGAGGTTGTCAGGCTATCTGCCATAAAAAATGGTCGAAACCTGGGAAGTCCGCGGAACTGGAGTTTGTAAATTATAGATCAGTTCTTATACGCAAAATACAAAATGGCTTACTATGCAGTGTTGAAACTGCCAATTTATCATCGTTATTATTTGAAAGTATCAATAACCTTGGGTCTGCATAAAGTGCGAGACGTGGGAGGCACTAAAAACGTGCGAATCACACATCCAGTACAGCAGCGGGCCGCGCCATGCATGTTTCGCACAAACGTTAATTTCTATATAATTAGATCAAATATATTTGTACGAGTATGTTATATTGTATATAATTTTAAAGTTTATAATTATGCTGAAAACAATGTTTCCTGTTTAATTTATAAGGTACGGAATAAATGTTGAAGATAGCCATATCTTTACATGTACAGTATCAAAATCGACAATGCTTGATCTTATTAAACATTTTTATGAATACGGCAAGCACACTGCAACTACTAGGCTAAATTTCTCACAGGGATCTATAGTGGTCCATTGTAACTATATACCGGACAAAACTTAAACTGGATTAAATTTATTTATACTAGAGGATACTAGTTTGTTTAGTTTAGACTTGTATTTGTCCTTACTCCTTAACACTGATATTCTTGCAAACTAGCTGATATACTATGCTTGTGATGTTACTCTGAGTGTATATCCACACCGGGCAAGCTTGAAAAATATGCCTGACCACGGTGGGTGAATCGAATCTACGACCTATAATTTGGAATACTAGTCCAATGCTCTGCCAACTGAGCTACGCGGTCTGGTCGGTTCGTTGTCAACATTCGTGATATAATTTTGTTTTGGAATTCCATCTGCATTAGTCAGTGATTAACCTGTTCTTCGTCGAGGTCTAGTGTAAGAAGACACTAAACTAGATTACTTCATTTATAATATATACTCAGTGTATAAGTTTAAATTTCGCAGCGAAAGGCTTGTATGATTGCATGCCGGAAATATATTTGTTTGGTATTTGTGGAAACATCATGCACGTTTATTTTGTATTAGTAGCTTTCGATATGTAAGCCTGCGTGGATCTTCATGCACGAATGTATTAGGCTAAATTATTAACGATCCAGCTTGGTTCGAAAGCTTCGCCAAAGCTGAGACAAAGAAATTGAACGTCTCCACAAAACAAAACAAATAAACCCAATTATATTTATTTTTAGCATGCAAGCCTACAAGATCATGATCAAGGATCTTATTAATGTGCTTTATATATGATAATGCATGGTATCGAGATAACGAAATATCTTTAAAAAACACAATGGCTACATTAATTATTAAAAAAAATCCCCACAAAATGCTTGAAAACGTGACTATCTTTCTATCTCTAAATTACGGCAAACAAAAATATTTCAAAACTCTTTAAATCTTTATTTAGCTTTAGCGTAATTGTCTCAATGTTGGCGTAATTGCCTCTATACAATATCTTGTCTTCTGTGATATTTGCCCATAAGCATGGCCATGAACAGAGGCGAGTTTTACTGCAATGGCAACGAAATTTAAGTCAACATTTTAGGCACAAGGAATAATTATGTAAAACTGTAAAATACGTTCACTGGACAACTTCTCTAAGTTACCGGTATCTTTTTTTCGTTCTCCATATATTTTAGTTTCATTTGATATATGTAAATTAAATAAAGCTATGGCATTATGCAAGTGATTAAAATATTAGTTTCAAAGGTATAGTATAGTGTCGTCAAAGGTTTAAAATGATGAAATATTTCAAACCATATACAGCTAATTCAAAGAAGGTTTTCTTTTGAAAAACCTTAAACTCTAAGACAGTTATGCTCTCTTAAACAGTCATGCTTAATCAGTTTAGAAAGCAGCATGGGGCCTGTTTCTTAGAGACATGGTAAAAATTTCCTTGCGAGAATAATTGATTCACAAATAGCTGCAATATTCAACTACTACGCCTGAAACTTGTGCTCCCATTACGCTTTACGCGCTTACAGTTAAAGGTTTAAGGTTTAGAGTTTAAGGTTTTTTAAAGGACAACCTTTTTTGAATTGGCTGCATATTGTTGATTCTTTTCACCAACATTACGCAGAAAGTTATATTATGCAGCAAGCATGAGCTCTTGGTTTATAAAGTTGGTTTAGTTAAAGCTTCTTCGTGTAGCTGGTAACACACTCGACCAATAAAAGATAGTCCTTACTGGACCTTTAGGGAGAAGAGTTTAGAACTGACAATATACAGGCTAAAGTTTCCTGTAGCTTCTGTACTTACGTTGTAAAAGACTTAAGTATTTTTTATAATAAAAGGCTGAAGTATTTTGTTTTTAATTTTCTTTGTTCAGAGAAAGGGCGGCTAAACCTTTCAATTCCTACAGACAGAATGTCTGTATACTCCCCCACAAGCTTGAAATAATAGTTAGTTATAGCTACGTGCAGTATTGAAATTCTTCACAGAAATATTAATATTGTGTTCTATTTGGGTCTGCAACTTGTGAACATAGATATCTTATATATACTAGATAGCACATCTCTAAGCAAAGTTGAAGCCAAGGATATTACGGCTTCAATTTTTGAATTGCAGAATAATTAGTTGCACTATCTAGTGTATATAAGATATCTATGCTTGCGAGGCGTCCAACAAGATTCCTGAATATATATCATGCAGTTAAATGTTTCTCAACGAAAATCTTCTATATCTTTGTCCTCTTGTCGACCGTTGCGAAGTTTCTGGCCGATAAACTTTTACTGTATAAGAAAAATGACGGTAACGGTTTTCACGAAGAAAATACGGGCGATTAACGGTGGAGACAAAAATAGGACGGTTTGCGGAGCGACCAACCCCCTCAATAGACCCCCTATCAAGACTTTGGTGATTGTAAAGTCTTTGTTAATTAGATGTCATCATCAAAGTTTCAAAATTTCCTAACTCCTTGCCTTCCTGGCTACATCGTCCCTACGAAATCAAAGGTATCTCACCTCAAATGTTTAGTTTCATAAATAAGCGAGCCATATATTAAGTATCTAATTTGAATATCACACCAGGACGATATATATCTGTTTTACGAGTTTTTTGTTTAATTTAAAGAAATCAAAATTAATCTTTAAGTCAACAATTATTCAACAAAGAGGAGGTGAATAGTGCAAAGATATTCACTGTAACGCGAAGCGTTGAGGTGATACCCTTGCACTATTTACCGGCACGTAGGTAAATTAAAATATTAATTACCGACACTGACGGGTAAAAATATTTTTAGAACACTTTGTATTTCATCTCCCGTAATTATCTAGATGTAAACAAAACATTATTTGCACAACTTCGATAATTTTATCATTTCTATTCGTTAGAAATAGCTTTAAAGAGTATCTCAACACATTGTTAAACAAAACGTCGCGCCTTTCTTCGTGTTTGGCGAAACCGCTTCTTCGTTCAGTGCAAAAATTTGCCGGCTCGTCTGTAACCGAACGAAACAGGAAGCCATCTTGTTTTTGACCGGAGGGGAATAATGTAAATATGATGTAAACAAAATGTATTTCATACCTACGGTAGACAATCTAACCATGCACTTTGTCTTCTTTCCGACTTCGGAGAACAAACTCGCCTTGCAGTGACTTGTGATGTCGTTGGTAACCTCAAAATAACCGTGTGCTCCGGCACCTTTGGCGTGAACAAATCTTTCCGGAATTCTCTCGCGTAGTGCATGTTGCATTCGTTCCAAGAAATATATGTCCTGAAGGACAATTGGTCCTCCCTCGCCAACTGTCAAGGAACCTGTAAAATTTCTGATTGGCGCGCCAGCTTGTGTTGAAGCTTGGACTGTCGCTGGTGTTAGCGTTGAAGGTGTGGCTGTTGGGGGTGTCTTTTTTTTCTAAGACAAAAAGTAAAATGTCACTTAACATAGAACATTTGCACAGGAAAATTTTAAGATAGCATTGATGATAAATAACTAAACATCGTAATTTTTACCGATGGAAAATGATCAGACAGTATTTATATATTCCATCGTAGAGTGACACGGTTAGTGTAATTTAAGGGCTGTTTCATATATACAGAATCTGTACTAAAATAGCCCGCGTGCAGGCCCAAGGGAGCAGGCTGAAGGGAACTTGATAGTGGGCCTGCAAGCAAGGGCCGGTATTTTGTACTTTCCGCGTTCGCCCACGAACGCGGCATTCTGATTGGCTGTTTGCTGTTGGATTCTATAATTAGGTCAGTGATTCATCACAAAGGCATAGACAAAGGCTCTCGATAAGCTTAAAATTCGAAAATTGATCACTTTTTCGATTACAAATGGAACAAGAACAGACTGTTTATTGTTTACTTGAAGGAAGAGATGTTTTTGCCGTTATGCCAATGAGGATTGCTTGTCGTGAGGTGTTGGAATAGCAACATTTATTACGAATGGGGTAAAACTATAGTAACCTTTAATTGAGTTTCATTAATTTCAAACAGACTTGATACGTTATATGTTCCTCAAGAAAATTATCTTTTGGTTGATGTTGAGATGCAGTTGCATGTGATGTAAGCCTATTCAAAATACTTTGCGATTTACAAGGCTTCGCTGAGAGAGCAAAAGATAAGACGGTATTAAATTGCCGTTTGAAACGAAACGATCTGGACTCTGAACGCTCTCTTCTTTTGTAGAGTTCTCACCAAATGAAATAACTGAAATAAATTCCGTACTTTCCGATCCGCCGCCAACAAGAATTGCACACACGATCTGATAAGTGAGACTATTTATAACAATGGCGACAGCGAAGCAACATTATAAATGTTGATGTGGTCGCACGACTTCCCTCACGATTTGAAGTTTGAGACTGGTTTTCTGTTGAAATTCGTCTTAATTTGCCTGTTCCGATTTTAGTTGAAAATGAGCACTTGTAAATTTGGCAATTACTGACTGCGTTGCTTGTTTTTTTTTAGTTTTAACACAGGCATTTAATACACATTGTTTCTATTTTGAATATTAAAGCAGAGAAAACCCCGCAACATTTTAATGCGAGTTTGTTTGTTAATATTTGGGTTGCTGTCATTGGTTCTTTTTGGACAATTGACGCGCGAATGGGGCGTGTTATGAAAAGGGGCGTTTTACAAAATACCGGGCCTTGCTTGCAGGCCCACTATCAGTTCCCTTGGGCCTGCACGCGGGCTAGTACTAAAACCACTAATTCTGTTTTGTGATTGGCGCGGTTTAATCAAAGAATCTCCCTGTTGAACCGGCAGAGCCTTCGCGACGTTTCGATTTATTATTTACTGTCGAAGGCTCTTAAATTCGCTGAATTAAGCTATCAGCTCATATTCGACTCGAGTTCGTAGAATAACTGTTAAATATAGAGAATAATACATGGGTGTGCGGAAATACCAGATTTATTTCGAGCATTGAACATGAAATCTCAAATACTCTATCATGAGAGATCGTAAGATTTTTCAGTTCAGTTGGCAGTTTAATTAGTTGCTGGGGCACCTGTGCCAGCAACTATAGGTTTCGGGTGAAATTTAACCTGAAGTTCAGGCCCTAATTTGAAATAGGGCCTGACACAAAACCTGTCTAGACCGTGAGACGCCCACATGTTATTTTTAGACACACATGCAATATGATTGACAAATGTTGTAGATTTCGTTACACAAAAAAATTATATTCTCATGAACATGTCCGCAGAGCATTTTGCTTTTTAATTAAACTTAAAAATTCAAGGTACTTTTATATAATTAAGAGTCAGTTTCTCTATTTAACCGAACAGGCGAACAGCAAACAAAGATTTAATTAGTCAGTTCTGTGCACGGCTTGACTGCCAAGCTTTCTCAAGGTCTCAACTTGCTGGACGCGGATATACTCTAACGACTCGTTAGAGTATATCCGCGTCCAGCAAGTGTTACGACTAACGGGCTAATAACAGCAACAATTAAATTCTCAATCATACCACGAAGAAGGCGATGTAGCTCAGAAAACAACGCCGGTAGGACCTGATATTAGAAATAAGACTTTTGCCGGCGAAGCAATTTGGCAGAACATCTTGGCTGTCAACAACAAGCTTTCGAATACATGACTAGTTTGGCTGTTCTTTCAGCGTCGTGTGTATCCAAAATTCGTCAAAGATTTTGATGAAGCCCTTTCAAAATACTGTTTGTTTGATTTATTTTCTGCCATAAAGCATAAAAGAAAAGAAATTCGAAGAAATCGATAATGGAATTTGTTACGTGCGTTTGACCTTTATATTAATTCTCGCCTTGACCGAGCTATTTTTAAAACTGTTGTTTATGTGAACTTGCAACCAATCAAAATCCTTCATGATGCTGATCAACCAATCAGATTTCCCGTCCACCAGGTGGACGGGAATCCCACACTTTAGATAGGTTTTGTGTCAGGCCCTATTCTGTGATAGGGCCTGAACTTCAGGTTAGGTGAAATTGGTCTCCTTCTCCTTCTCCTTCTCCATGGATAGTCGCAAAATGGAAATTCCCACTGATCTATATACGAAGCAATACGTGCATACATTTTCGCTATTTTAACGGTCTTAAAGTCTTCGTAAGTGTATAAAGTGAACGTCAAATTGTTCTTTCAATCACGCTTTTTCTTCTGGGGGCTTTTTGAAAGAAATCCATCAAGAATATACAGAATTATGTCGACGTTTCACTATCGAGGAGTGGAGTAGATTCCGAGGTGGATTAACTGACAATAACTGTGTTATTTATTCGTCGAACCGTTATTTCTGAACGTTTATATTTTTGTTTTGTGAAGTTTTACATCTATATACGCTTTAATATGGCTTATAGTCCTGGTTGCTCCAATAGTCTGCATAAAAATCGTATTTGTTTACATGTATTGGAACTGTCATATTTGCATGCTAGCTCTATTTTCAAGAAGGCTCAAATGTTGGCTGTTTTGAAGTGACACACGAGGTACGTGACACACAATCTTGGATTGGTATTTCTTAGATAGATGTTTTTAATTGATAAACCTTGCAGCCATTGGCTGTATTATGTTAACATTACATAAGGTCCAATTATTATTCTGGTTATAGGATCTAACCATTTGATGATATTTATGTGGCTCTAACATGTAATAGCTTCAATATTTTGGAGTGTATTATTTGATGTTAAGCCCTTTAGTTAAAAATCACCAATTGAAGAATTGCTAGAACCAAAAGTGAATACTGGAACTATCCATATTTACCATGTTGCACCCTCAATGCCTGGTTACCCCACGTCTTGTCATTCCCCCCCCCCCCTCTTTGAGGGCCCTCTTTGTTAGCGATTCAGTTCTACACCACTGACTGCTAATATAAAGTTATGTAAAATTTTAATGCCAATAGCTCAGGGAGTGCAGTGCTGTGGGAAGCTCTTTTTGATTGGGGAACTGAAAGCAATGGCCAAAGGCCCAAGGAAAATTTTAAATTTAGAGTCTCTGAAATGCCATTTCCTGAACTTTGGGAAGATTTGACAGAATTCCGATGGTCAGAAAACAGCATTTTAGTATGTCGAAATTTACAATTTCAAACAGCCCCCCCCCCCCTGGTTGCTACGGCCCTGAGGTGAAATATAACCACTGTCTATCGCATGCATCAGTTAGGTGCAAAAAGCTAAATTCCGCACCAATAATCCAATATATGCGATTGTCCATATCATATAACCCTTTAAGTGGCAATGTACCCTCATGTAACCTACTTTATTATTTTACTGTGTCTAATGCCAAGGATTTTACTCATCAGGGAGAGAGTGCTGTCAATCAATGGCTTAATTCACAAACGACTCCTTAGTCCTTAACTGTCTGATAAACAAGTTAAAATAAAAATACACAAATCTGTATTTATCCTCAAATATGAATAAGGGGCTATTATGGCCCAAGGCCCAAGTATGTACACTTGTGCCACAGTGCCAGCATAAAATGGGCTATTTCAGCTTTCAATTCTGCTGGAATGAGGTGATAAATTTTTAGCTTTGGAATTCCTTAGGGATAAGCAAATTTCTGTGTGGAATTCTTTGGGGGTAATCCGGTAATGGATATATTGAATGAGATTTTCTCAGGGGTCAAATGTAAAAATTGAGATTCTTCCAGGGTTTCTCTTCATGGGTATTAACAGGAATTCTTCAGTGGATCTCTTTTATGACCTGTAGGAATTCTTCAGTTCAGCGATATGATGAACTCTTGTGCAACGGACCTGATTGTGAGATTCCACTTCATTGAAAGGACGACCTTAGGGACGGACCATTAGAAAACCGATGGGGGGGGGGGGAACCCAAAAAAATTTATTCCCAGGAAAAAATTAGGGGAAAAAATCTTCCCAGGCATAGTGCAAAAAAAATTCCTTTCTTGGAAGATAGGCCTATAAATTTTAATAAAAAAATATATTTCCAGCCATCAAGTGAGAAAAAAAATTTCTATAGGTGTACAAAAAAAAATATTGCCTCTTAGAAAATCCGTCCCCCCCCCCCATCACTTTTCTAATGGTCCGTCCCTTAGTTAATTAAATTTGCTGTATACATTATGTCGCAACGTCTCACTATTTAATAAACTTATGTACAATTACAAATCAAGCCCACAAATCGTTGGATATATTCTTACCGCTCGTTGCAAATCACGCAGGCGCCTATTTAAAAAGCCCCAGCAACTTAACGCTCGAGAGAGCGTCTTGTTATTCTAGGTTTTAGGTGTATGGTAGCTAAAACTTCATTTTATTGCATTTGTTCTTGGTTTGCCAGCTTCAGCATAGTGCAATTACTGTACTACGCACATGCACTGTAATACGAATTGATAATTAATTTACTGAAATTTGAACTGGTCTGATATTGATCATGTAGGAAGACTGGTTTAGGGCTGGACAATTCAATTTGTTCATGACATCTTTGGAACGAGTCTCCCAATTATCTCCAATAATTCTTGCTGCCCTATTTTTCATGAACCTCTTGAAGTTTCGGTTGTAACGTTAGTTTATCTATTAGTAAACTGCCATGCACTTTTGCTAGTTTGGAAGAACTCGAAATATCGAGACTTCCACAGATTATTTCTCACGATTTGGTATGCGCGTGATCGAGTTATTAAGCGCGCAGGATGTTAAGAGAGCACTTGCATTACTTAACAAATGTAATATTGATAAAATTACTTACCTCTACTAATAGTCTTTTCCCTCTTCTAGTTTCAATGCGAGGCTCCATGGCTGCACAAACACTGCAGACTAGACTCGGTCTTTACACTAATGATTACACTGAACTGCCTTGTATTTTCTCAATTGTTATATAGCTGCCTTACCATACATGATATTCAGCATGTATACCTGATGCAACAAACAAATAAATGTAATTCAAGCAGCAAGATTTAATGTACCAATTGAGCAATGTTTCAATAAGTATAGATATCGATCTCTGGTAAAAGTTCCGTTGTCGTCACAACTTGCGTAAATACTCAAAACCACTTTTTTCTAATTGCCAAAATTTTAATACAAAGATCTTATTTTCTATGTAAATTATATGTTAACACAGTAATAGGGTTCCGCCCCCGTAATTTTTAAGCAAAACTTCCTAAAAATGCCTGCATGTGCATGTTTCTACTCGATCTTTAGCATATAGTAAATTCCGGCTTTGGGATATATGTATATGCATAGCTAATTAAGAAAAGATTGCCCTTCGAAACTCCAAATCTCACGCAACTTAGATTCTAAGCGCGAAAAGCATGCACGCCGTGTGTTTCTATTTATGAAGTTTATATTATACATATATATAATGCAAAGCTGACTTTCCCTGTGGTCGTTTGAGCACTTTGGCCCCATTATATTCTGCGCATGTCTGGATGCGTTGATGTAGTCGTGTTGTGCCACATGTCTTGGTGAGAGCAAGTTCTGAAGTTCATGCGATATAAATACGAATGCATCGGGTAGCTAGACGTGCATCAAGCTGCACTGACGAGGCGTAGAACACCGAAACATGCATGTCTGCAGATTTTTAACATGCATTTCTATAAAGAACTCTAAACTCCAAACTTTAAGCGCACAAGCTTAATGGGAGCACAACTTTGAAGCTTAGTATAGTTGCATGAATATTGCAACTATCTGTGAATGAATTGTTGCCGTAAGGAGATATTTACCATGTCTCTAAGAAATGGGCTCCATATTTGATTTCTAAACTCGTTAAATAATGCTGCCGTTCTGCTTTGGACGCTTAGAGTTTAAGGTTCGCAAAGGACAACCTTTTTAGAATTAGCTGTATACAAATATTTTTTTCATCCACATGCATAATAATTGCGTGTACATAGCCTAATGGAACCATTACGCACTCCTATATGCAGCACACTCACACCAACACGGATGCATGAATTATATTATATCGATGAACGATAAATTATTTTTCATGTCTAACAAGCTGTTTCAATCTCTCAAATATGATAAAACCTGTAGATATTCTCAAGGAAGTTTTAACTAAGCTGCAACATGGATTTCTGACATTTGCGTGCAGGAATGCAATTTTATTATATTTAATTAAACATATAATTAGAGAAATTACAGCAATTTTGCAATCGATGATCAATTCCTTTATTTCAACTATAAATATATAAAGTGAAATTTTACCAGCACAGTGGGATGCTACACGATGACGCACGCTTCCATAAAGTCTGTTAAACCAGAAAATTTTACTAAATAAACGATCGGAAATCTTCGGAAAAAGATCACCACAAAGATCTGTTCCAAGCTGGAAGTTTTCATCGCAAGCAAAGAGTATATAGATACGTATAGAGCTGTAACTGACCGTTTACAACACTGCGGAAGCTTACGTTTTCATGTATACCCACTTTTTTCAGACGACCGTGCGAAAAATGATCAACTGCGCGTGCTCGGCAAGTTTTAAAGCGAGCCGTCATCCAATGGGATGCATGCATCTAGTAACGTGCCAAGCACGCGCACGAAAAAAGTGGGTATACTAGTTATATTTTGTACCGTATCTACTCTGTGTCGCAAGCGCGTGCGTCAACGAAAATCACGAAATCAAACAATTAAACTAATTAAACCACAGAGTAGATACATATACAGAGTTATAACTAGTACGTGTACCCACTTTTTTGTCCGCATGCTCGGCAAGTTACTAGATGCACGCATCGGATTGGACGACGACCCTTTGTTGATCATTTTTTGCCCGGTCGCCTGAAAAAAAGTGGGTACATGAAAACGTAAGCTTACGCAGTATTTACAACCGTCAGTTACAGCTCTGTATATGTATTTTCTCTGTGATTAAACCGACATAAATCGCCTGAAGATCGATGAGACAAGATCGTGAAACTCAGAGTAGCGAAAAACATTTATAACTTTAATTATTTACATAGCACTATACTGCGCTGTTTATAGGCTAGTATTGAGCACTATAGCTATAACTCTTTTTAGTCTTTCGACGAAAAATAACTTGTATATATATATATATATATATATATATATATATATATATATATATATATATATATATATATATATATATATATAT